GGAGCTGGAGAAGCAGCTGAAGGCCCGGGAGGAGCTGCTCCTGCCCATGTACTACCAGGTGGCCGTGCACTTTGCTGACCTGCACGACACCCCGGGCCGCATGCAGGAGAAAGGCGTCATCACGGTGAGCCAGGGCACCGGTGGGAAGGGGTTGGTGCAGGGAGTTCTGCAGGGGCAGCATGAAGGTGGGAGGCAAAGTCCAGTCCCAGGGGTCCGGGCTGCAGCTCAGGGTCCTGTTCCTGCCCCGGCGCTGCTCTGCTCCAGCCCCTGGACCTGCCTTCAAACCCACTGGCACGAGCTGTGAGCGAACAGTCGCTGCACATCAGCTCCTCTTTTTCTGCAAAGATGAACCCGGGCTCTCCCCCATTTCTGCAGGACATCCTGGAGTGGAAGAACGCCCGCTCCTTCCTCTACTGGCGGCTGCGACGGCTGCTGCTGGAGAGGTCCTGAAGGCGAACAGCGAGCTAAGCCACATCCACATCCAGTCCATGCTGCGGCGCTGGTTCATGGAGACGGAAGGAGCTGCCAAGGTACGCCCAGCCCCAGCTTGCCAAGGCGTTCCTGCGGCCGGGGGGTCCCAGAGGCTGTCACCTTGCTCTCCTGCTGCTTTGTTGGTGCCTCCCTGAGGGATTAAACACGCAATGGGAATTACCGTTCTGCAGCCTGTGCCAGGGTGGGCAGCGGAGCAGCCCTGAGCCTGGGGCTGTCTCTTCAGTGCGGGTGACCTCAGTTGGATGCTGGTGCTCAGTGGTAGCAAGGTGGCCCCCAAATAAACACGGACCTCCTCAGTTTCTACCACCAGATAGGGCTTCCCAGGGCAGAAGAGAGTTTTGGGGTCTTTGCATTTGAGCTGCTCTCAAGTGCAAGTACCACAACACACACATCGCCATGTCAGTCCTGTGCTTGCTGAGCTGGAAAGTGAGGGCGTGCAAAGGAAACATATTTTACCTTAACTTTTTGCATTTTAAACGCTCCACAAAGCTTTCCCCAGTTTTGATTTCCAGACTGAACCTTTTCCCCAGTGGCTGTTGCATGGGAGTGGAGGAGTGTGCCATGCTGCGACACATGTGCAGGACCGAGAAGAAAAATCCCATTGCCTGGTTGTGTCACGGGAGGCAAAAAGCCCAAGGATGCAGCAGAAAGGGGGGGCTCAGGCTGCGCAGGCAGCAGGACCCCCTGCCCACAGTGCTGCTCTCCGCAGGGCTACCTCTGGGACAACAACCAAGTGGTGGTGGAGTGGCTGGAGAAGCACATGCAAGAGGATGACAGCACCCAGTCGGCCATCCGGGAGAACATCAAGTACTTGAAGCGGGACTACATGCTCAAGCACATCCGGAGGTGAGTGGCTGCGGGAGCTGGGATGCGAAGGACAATGCTGTCCCCTGGGTTGGGGACAGCGGCTGGTGGAGATGAGGCGGTTCCTGCTTCAGCCCCTGAGGCAGCTGCCCTCTCCCATCTGCCTTGCAGCTTGGTCCAAGCCAACCCTGAGGTGGCCGTGGACTGCATCATCCAGATGGCTCAGCACATCACTCGTGCACAGAAGGCCCAGGTTGCCCATCTCCTGTCAACGGTGGATAACGACAGCCCATCCTGAGCCGGTGGCGTGCAGGGCAATTGCCGCAGGGCAGGAGGGGCACCGGGACACGCTGCTGCTCAGAGGCCAGACCTCACCTCCCCACCCGGTTCGTCAGCCCTCGAACTGAAGCCTGGGACTCTTACTCGTGTGCCTAAATAAAGGATGCCAGTGTTTGTATTTTAAGCCATGAAGATGGTCTCTCCATCCATGCAAAGTTCCCTCTGGCGCTGGGGGTGTACATCAGAGGGGCAACTTGGCAGAAGATAAGCTTGGCCCAAGCCAAGTCTGGACCTGGTGCAGAAGTTGGTTTTAAAAAGAATCTAAAATCTTTTATTGTGTTTTAGTTGCAAGCCCCGGCCTTAGTCTTTAGAACAAGCACCACTGTCAGACACGTCTCATGAGACTGGACGGAGCTGGAAGTACAAACCGACTGGCCCAGGCACCACAGGGAGCAGGACGAAGGAGGAGCTCTCCGAATGGCCGTGTAGAGGCTCACCAGGCACCGGCACAAGGAAACGTAAACCCTGCTTAAGAAGCAGTCTCAAACTGATGTTTTATTATAATAAACTCAGGAACTGTGAGGAGCAATTTGTCTCATCCTTCCCCTTGTCGGGGAGCGATCAGTAGATGTGACTATCAGTAGCTGATGGCCCAGAAAAGACATCAGTGAGCCACGCTGGGAGCTGCTGCAGCGGGAACATCAACAGATCCACCAGCGTTGGACTGACCCGACTGTTCCTCTCGCCCCTCTCCCATCCTTTCTGGCTCCCACCGCAGCTCCTTCGGGTGTTTTCAGCCTGCGGCTCCTGCGGAGGACAGAGAGGAGGGAGGACTCGGCTGCGGGTGCTCCTGCCCCAGCGACCTGGTCTCTTGGCTGAAGCGCAGGAGCCAGGGTGAGCCCTCTGTCTGCTCGGACTTGTACCTCGCTTCTCGGGTGGCCTTTAATCAGCTCGGTTCATGGGGGGGAAAATTGGAATATGTGCTTTCCAGTGCCTCTGGCATGTCACCAGCACAGGCTTAGCTTTGGCTCGCAAAGGGGGAGGCATGATGGCGATGGAAGGTTCAAGTGCAGCGAGGGGATTGCTGTGGTGTGGAGGTGTTGGACCCCTCCTGGGCTGGGGGGTCCCACCAGGGTCTGCAGGGAGGTCAGTCCTGGGGTGGGGGTGGAAAGGGCCTTGGGAGACACTTGCTGGTTTGAAAGGTGTCGGGGAAGGGGGTGCTGATGCTCACCGTACGGGAGCCAAACCACTGCCAATAAAGTGAGCACAGTTCTCAAGGAATTTTCCTGAGCTCTGTTTCTTTTGTCATCGTACAAACGCAGCGGATCCGAGCAGGGGCCGGTGCCTCTGCCGCTGTGCGGCACAGAAACTGCTTTAGCACAGAGCAGCTCCTGGCATCCCTCCTGCGAGTGCCTGTCCCTAAACCAGAGCTCTCCGTGCATTTAGGTAGAGATTTTCAGGAACAGGCTGACAGCTTGGAGAAAGAGTTCATGCAGTAAATACCTGTAAGCTCTGATTCTCCCAGAGGATCTGAGCCAGGGACAAACCCTCGACTTGGCCATCGTGTAATGCCTGTAAAGGCAGGACGCCTGGGGAAAGCTGCTCTCTTAGAGATAAGCCCTCGCTACCATCTGCAGGTGAGCGCTACAAACGCTTTGTGCAGGGATGAGATGTTTTTTCTGTTAGTGGCGGCAGTAAACGCACAAGTCTTGGATTCGAGAGATGGGCCTGCTCCTCGGCATGCTCAGACACCGCGGCTGGAGTCAGGCATGTCTGAACTTTGTCCGTTTGTCGACATCCACAAGTTGTATGAAACTATTTCCTCCTTGGGTTGGATTTCCAGTAGCAGCCGCCTTGGAATTGCTGTTTAATCCGAGCTGCAGGGACGCGCCCCACACCAGGCAAGTCATAATGCAGCATATCTAGAATGACCCAGGCTTAGTGCTAAGAAATATTTATTTAAAAAAAAGAAGACCTCATAGATGACGCCAGTCACAGCAAATGATCATTAATCACATTTGTTCTTGAACAATAAATTATGACGTGGAGCATCGTGCCCATCTGGAAGGGCTAGCGGTGGACATATGCCCTGGGGGAGATACGGGCACAGCCGTTTTCCAGCCCCTGCGCTTCACAGCAGTGATTTTCAAGCACGAAGGTGTCCCACCGGGGTGGCCCCGGCACCCAGCACCCTCCGGGATTTCAGTACCTGGACCAGTGTGGGAGAGAGGAGCCTGTGAGCACGTGGACACACCACCAGGAACTCTACTAATGCACAGGAACAGACAAAACACGAGGTATAAATATTACTTCATGGTCACAGGGGGTGTAAGTAGACTAACTGCTAAATCCCAAACATACAGTTTGCTTTTTATATTTTCAGATGTTTCATCACATTTTTTGCAAGATGTGTTACCAAGTATAAAGGAGGGGTTGAAAATTTAAGAAAACTACATAAGAATCAGTTTTACTTAGTTAATTAGGACAGAAAGACTATTATGAATCGGTATGGTACAGTTACAATATTTGGTCTCTGAATTTTTTTTAAAAAACATGAGTTTCACAGTATCAAAAGTGCTTATTTAAAAGAAATGTAGTGTAACAACAGTGGTTAAAATCGTTGCATTTTTGATTATGAATAATTTAGTGGATGTAAAACAGGTTATGCAGCATTTTAAAAAATTGAACAGTGCTCAGTTTACATAATTTCTTTTATCTTCATAACAATAAATATAAATAAATTTACAAATAGTAATACTGCCTAGCACAAGAATAGACAGAAGCACAATACACAAGACTATAAACAAATCTAATTTTTTTTTTTAAATCCTAAAAATAGGCATAATTCCTAAAATCTTCTAGCCAGTGATCAGTTTAATAATTCAGTAGTTTTACTTCCTTCATGGTGGGGTAAGAACTTTTTTTAAAATCTAGATATAACTGTTGTCTGCTATGGGTTTGATTTTTCACGTTTAATATTTTTGCTCCTTTTTTCCTACCTCATAACAATAAATTAACAATAGTTATGTCAGAAAAGTGTTAGTGGTGCAAGTGTCTCCAGAAACTGCGTGTGGTCTTTGTTCAATGGCAACAGTTATTTGGCAATTGCAGGAAAAAAGGTATACGTGGTACACGATCAACCATTTTGTTCTTCGACTTGGTGCTGACCAGCCCCTTGACTTGTGTTGGCTTCTGTGGTGACCAAACAGCGTCTGCACGTAAGTCCAGATCACCGTGTCAATTAAATGTTTTTACCTTAACCGGACCATTCTTAGCTCAGTTACATTCTAGTGAAAGTTCCTGCAGCCTTCTAGGTCCTTCCTAAGAGCTCACCAGTCCCGCAACACGAGTGACGGTGCCCCTTCCTCATCTTGCCATGGGTGATGGTGGTTCTACAGTCTGATTTATTTTGGCATCACATGTGCGTCTGCAGGAGGAGCTCTTTTATTGCTTTCAGGTTGGATTTTAACAGTTGAGAGAACCTGGCCCCTGAGTCAGAGGTCCATGGAACGGTGCAAAACTTAGAGCAGAGCGATGGGTTTGTTGCCTTGGGGGTTCATGTACTGAGCTGCCGCTACGTTGTCCAAAAAAAATGGTGTAAAGGCCGGTGACCTGCAGGTCTGAGAAGGAGTGATCGCTGCCACTGGAGACGGGGGTGAGGCCAGGGGTGCCCAGGTCACAGTCCGAGAGGTGGAGCGGGGAGTTGCTGAAGGCACCCAGGGTATCAAGGCTGAAGCTGTCGTCTTTCATTTCCTCCCATATGTTACCTTTAAAAGATTAAATTCCAGTCACAGCAACACGTCCAACCCGCCCGGGCACTGTGTGTAGGGGTCAGTCCGTAATGAAAGGGCTTTGCCCGCTGTTTCGGACCAGTGCTGCTTGCGGATGCTACTATTTGCAGTGCAAAGGCAGGAAGAGTGTCTGTTACCCCCGAATCCCCAGGATTCCAGCTGGAGTCCAGACCTTTCCAAGCAGCATCTATCTACCACATGCTAACCAGAAACCACACTAGGCATCGCCACGAGCCAGGGAAGTTCTCCTTTTACAGAAGGGGAAAACCAAGGCAAGAGCAGAGCTACAGTATCCCATGGGCAGAGAGAGGTGATGCCCCAGATCCAGCTAGCTGGACATCCCTGCTTACATCTACTGCAGTGCCTGGGCTTCACCCGGGAGGGCAGTTTGCTGTCCCACCTAGCACAGGGCAGCAACGCACCGAGGAAGGCCGGGGAAGTCACACTGCAGAGGCCAGCACCCAGCACAAGTTTTTAGCCCAGTTCATCCAACCCCAGAGCATCTTGCTGAGGACCCTGGTTATAAATTCAGTGACTACATAACCACATAAACCATGTCATCCCCTATCCCCATTTCCTTCTCCCATACCTTGCAATGCGAAATCCATAATGCTTGGGTCAAGAGCATCCACCTCCGTGTTCATGTCTGCTGTCATGTTCAGGAAGTCCGGAGGCGCGCGGCCCACGGGATGGTGGGGAAGAGGGCTGTGGCTCATGTCAGGTAGAGTATGGAGAGGAGGTGTTTGTGCAGGCGCTGGTGAGTCTGGGGCGATGCGAGCCTGGGTCTGGATCTGGTGATGGAGGGGGATGGACTGCAGCGAGAGCGTCATGATCGGCTGAGGCTGCAGCTGGGAGATGGAGATTCGGCCTTGGGCTGCTGTCATGGGGTTCAGGGCAGAGACCTCCGACTCTGCCTGTTTGCCGGGCCGCCTGCAGTTCTCAGGTCTGTCGGTGATCAGCTTGTCTAGCTCCTCTGCACAAGCAGTACCGATTCCCAAGGAAGAAAAGAGACAGTTTAAGCCATTTGTTCAAGCAGAGCCTGGCCAAAGCATTTCACAAGGGAGCTCAGCCACACGCTTTTGCCATAAAACTGAACGGCGTCTGTCACCGTATGAGCTGCAGCGCAGAAGGCAGGCTCTGACTGTGCAGAGTGCAAAGAAATGCCATCTACTTCCCTACCCTTTGCCCTTACCCTAGTCAGCTTCCATGGTCACCCCTAACTGAGCTAAAGAAATGATCGCATGAGACTTTCACAGGGCAACCAAGCCACCATCGATGGCAACTGGGCTGCAGGTGCAGAACTGAGCATCCTCAGGAGGTCTCCTGCTGATAGGGATACTCTGAATTCTGCTTGTGTCTCAAATAAGATTCGTATGAGAGACTCCTGACAGTTTCAATGGCACTTTTGTTTTTAAGCAAAGGAGAACGTAATTTATCATTCATTGTATGTTACAGATTTTGCAGCAAAAAACCCTCCAGTTGATTTTGCCAATATCGAGTTCCTGCAAGCTTCAATAATGTGTCTTTATAAATAGGAATGAGAAAGGCTTAGTAAAAGAGAGTTTTGTGGAGTAAGTAAAAAAACTGCATTCACATGTGACACCAGAAGTACTAACACTGGAGGCAGCATAACTCCTCAGAAGGCCTTGGGTGTGCTAGATAGGTTAGCATGGGGGAAAAAGACAATCCACTTTGAAGCTGGGAACCAATTTACACTTAGGGCCTCCAAAAATGGCTGTCAGTTCAGTTGCCTCCTCCTGCTGCAGTGTATTGCCCTGTACAACCTCAGGGCAGCAGCAGTGACTCAATTTGGTGCAGAGCAGGGGGAGTATTTCAGCCAAGCAGCTCAGAGGAGGAGGCCCTTGCAAGGCGTGAGAGCTCTATAACTTATTTCTTAAGATTCATGCATCCGCGGCCAAATAACCATTTTTCCCCCTTGCCTCTCATACATGTAGCAAAAGTGTAACATAAGCCCTACCTGGATTAGCCATGCTCCTGTGAATAGCAGCTAGGTCCTTCCGTTTCCACTTCTGCATCTCCTCTTCCATCTTGTCGATCTTGGCAGGATTGAGAGCCCACAGGCACCCTTTGCGAGAGGTGCCACTCATCTTGTTCTCCACCTTCTCAAAACACTTATTCAGGGAAAGGTTGTGGCGCACAGAGTTCTTCCAGCCATCAGGGGCTGTCTGAAAGACGCAGGAGGATGTTAGTGAAATAAGCCATGAACAAAGTATTTGTGATGTTCGACTTCCACCTTTCAGGTGTATGCATACCTTGAAGTAGATGTAGATCTCACTCACTGGGAGACTGCCTGTTTTGCTGTTCTTCAGCGCCATTGCAATCAAGCAACTAGAGGACGGAGAAATAGAGGAAATAACAACAGATTGCATATACTTAGCCATCGTACGCTGCCTTCTCGTCTGGCAACCTTGGACCCACCTCTTAAGACACAAATAGCTGGCTGATCATGGGATTACCATAGCCGAGTGCTCAGAAGCCACCCTGTGATCCTGCAGATTTTACTCCTCTGTGCTATTACTCTATCTTTATGTTGGTGTCCAGGAACTAGCTTGCTTGCTCATCCTGCTGCCCCTCAGAGGCAGCTTCCACAGAACTCCTAGGCGGATGACGGGATTTTTGTTCCCTTCAAAAGGAATCAGATGCTCTCGTGCTACCACGCTTACAGCGCTGCAGTCATCCCAATGCAGGCTGCAGGCAATGCGCTGTTCTCTCTACTCACCTATAGGAATAGATTGGCTTGGGGTAATGCTTTGGATGCATTTCTTGGGCAGAGTGAGGAGCCAGGCGTGGCTGAGAATAGTGTGGCTGGGTCCCATAGGATGTGTTGTAGATTGCTGCTGGGTTACACTGTATGCAGGAGAAAAAGAAGGAAAAATGTCAGACGCAGAATGTCCGTGGGTATGTAGGTTTAGGGATATTTTATTGGTTTTCTTTTAAAAGAGTTCTAGAAATGGTCTTGGCAAGTACTTCAGGACACGGACCACAAGAAATAACAGTACCTGTTGTGTGTTCTGTGCTAGGGCAAACACTTGCTGTGAATGAGGAGGAGGAAAGAGTTGTTGCTGCGTTTGTAAACTAGGAGATGGCTGCCCACCTACAGCATACTGGCTCATCTGCTGAGATAAAGACAATAGATGTGTCAGTCTTGAAATTACCAACATCAGTTGCAATAATAAGCCATCGAGCCCGGCTCTTACATTTGCTCCGTGTGTTGAAATAGAATTCAGTCCCAGGATTCCCTGTGGCAGGCTGGCCTGGACATGAATCATTGCTCCAGGTGCTCCTGTCGAGTGCATATTGCTTGCTACAGGACCTGTTTTGGAGAAAGCAAAGGCAGTGAATGTTCGCATGAAAGGCCTCTTCAGAAAAGAGAGCTGACATTTATTTTTAATAGAGGCAGTTAAACACAGCTAAGCTCTGGAGTGGATAATCACACCTCTCTATGGCTTTCCATCCCAAAAGAACCTAGAGCATTTCACAAATTGCAAAGATGACATCAGCTGCTTCTAAAACTTGTTATGCAGGGAATGAAAGATGACAGCTGTTTAACAGTCCACAGTGGTGTTACAGACACGGTATCTTACAAAAGAAAAAAAAAAACATATTCAGCACTATCTGTACTCCAGAAGGATTTCTGCTCTACAGCAAGCAAGATGATACGCTGAGCTCTCTCACAGAATGCCTCAGGGAACAAGCGTGTTTACCTAAAGGATGTTCACAAAGGAAAGAAAGGCGTTCAATGAACATATGCTGTAAGGCTGTATGAAGCAAACAGGTATGGGGTAAATAAGATACTCTTAATTTTATCAATGTTGAAACAAACAAGAAAGACTAATTACCTAATTTCAAAGCTGTTGAAAACCTCTGAAATGCAAGTCTTAAATACCTTGGCCCGAGTTCACGCAACAAGGCACCAGCTACTACACTGAGCAGAAAAGCCAATCTGATTCTAAGATCTCTGCTGTGGCTGCCAGGGTGCTCTGCCTCTTGAAATGAAGGAAATGTATCAGCAACAGCCTTATCAGAAGACAACAGGCTCCAGGTCTTCTGACAGGAAGCAAAATGTGAGGCACTCAAAAGGAATCTACTAATAGGAAAGCTAGTCTGTAGGGGGGGGAAGAAAGGAGGCAGTAGGCTGTGTCGTTTCAAGAGCAGTTATTTAACGGCCTAACAGTTTACCTGTCTGCTGTAGCATTGCATTCTGGGCACCAAGGCTAAAATCCATTCTTCCACTGGCCATCTGTTGTAACCGAGGAACATCAACAGATGTCAGCCACGACAAGGACTGTAAGTCACTGGGGAGGTCATCTTCGCTCAGCTGGGAGGGGTCAGAAGCTAAGAGTCTGCAAAATAGCATGAAAGGTTAGCAGGGAGCGGAGATGCTGCTACACCGTCCCTGGAAAGAGAGGAGACGACTGGAATGCCAAAGCTCACGTAGGTCAGCGGGGAAAACACCTCAGGCTGGAATTCCGTTTGCAGAATTCAGATGCAACCTTTGGTTTCACAGCTGGCTCGTTACTGCTGCCCTTTACCTAATCACGTGTTCCTTTGTACAATTTGAAACATTTTGGTGAAGAAAACTTCTCGTGCAGTATTTGTAGGGGAAAAAGGCTTAAGAACCCAGAAGAGAAACTTCCTAGAAACAAAACCAAAGCTGAATCATTATTTTCACATTTGTCAGAAACTTGCACTTGTTTGGCCTTGATGTACAAGAAACCTGTCAGGACTTTTAACCTGGTATTTTTGCATTAACCTTGAAATCCGGTGACCAGTCAGCCTTGGGAGACGTTTCTGTGCCTAGATCCCCAAGGACCTGTGTACGCTGCCGGCTCGAACACCCGGAGAGGGCTTTTCCCAGCCCCTGCACCCCGCCGGTGGGGACGGATCAGCGGAGAGTTGCTGCACAAACAAAACTTTACAAAATAAACTGGAGATCTCTCCCCTTCAGATACATGACGTTATCAATACTTAACAAGGAATCATGAAGCATATGAAATGATTTCTTAGGCAGTTTTTGACATGCGAAAGGATCAGACTGATGAGCACAATAGAACCCAGCCCGCCTTCAGCTGACAAAACCGAGGCATAATGGTGACAGGCTGCTTTTGTTTTAAATCTCCTTTTTGACCCATTCTATGTGCTCCATCCCACCTGGTTTGTTTTGCTTCTGGTAGAAAGCGTGGTACAAAACTGAAATATTGAAATATATTCACAGTATTCAAAAGTTTGTGTGCGGTCAAAACTCCCATCAAAATCAGTAGAAGAACTATTGCAAATGAAGAGCTAAACTGCTTTTACTCATCTTAAACAGTATTACATACATATGGGTATCTTGAGGAGCGAAGCAGTAATTAGAACATGTTAGAAAGTTATCATTAGATACCAGGGTAAATCCAAAGGGATTCAGGTCCAGCAAAACATCTTGGTCTTTCAGAAGAACATAGTTTATTTGGATGTAGTTGATTTTGCTTTCAAAACAAAGGTTTTAAAGAGCTCTCTCATAGATATGTTAAAGCCAGCTGTGTGGTACTAACGTGTGTTCGTTGCCAAATGACGATGCAGAAGCCTTAAATAAATCTGGTCTCTTGCTGAAGCATCTTTTATGTTTTACATGATTCTAAATCAGCTTAAAAGAACAAGGCAGAACTCTAGTGCCTGGCTGCCCAGGAGCTTTCAGCTCCTCTATTCATGATTTCCAGAAACATGTATCAAAGTTCCCTAAACTATTATCTGGGAGATCTTTAAAGCAGAATGTAATTTATTTGTTTGTAAAAAGATTTTCAAAAGAAGAAAAGGAAAAAAAAAAAAACCTCAACACATGACCAGGAGCCAAAAGCTCAAATCCTGGCCAAAAAAACCCCTCTTCAACTCTCTCTCCCAGCCTACCCTGTTTTCTTTTTCCTACTGTAGTTATAGTGCAATAATTAGCATTGCCATGGTTACCGCTGTTCAGTTATTTTGTGAGGCCTGGGACTTAAATACATAAAAAGGCTATCAGGTGACGGCTCTCCCGGCCTGGAGATTGGCTGGATTGGAAGTAAACAAGAGCATTAAATGATTTGAAAACTGGGCAGGCTCATGTCGTTTGCAACAGTTGGGCCCATTCACGGGAAGCCGATAACCCATTGTGCCGCCAACGACTGCTGCCCGGTGGCACGTGGCCTCGATTGTTTTTGAGATTCTTGCTTAATTGTTTTTCCTCTCCCCCTCCACTCCTTTTTACAAACTTCACATTAATCTGGCTGAATGACAGCCGACACACAACACGCATCCACATGCCATCTGGCACCCCGGTCCCTGCCAGTCCTCCCAGACAAGTCAGCTCCTTCAACAAATACCGGGGTCAGATGGGCGGCGAGGGTCAGCGCCCACCGCACACGCCTCCTGTCAGGCGATGAATCCGCCACATGCCCTCCGCTCCTCTGCACGGGACGAGCATCTCCGCACGGGAGCCGCGGTGGTGCTCAGCAGCCTTCCCGGCTTTAGCTTTTTGGGAAACAAAGGCCGCTCTCTGCTTCGCACTCACCCTAGGCGCGCTCGTCCCGGTGCTCTTTCTAGACCTGGGAATGACTGGTGGGACCCCGGATGCATCAGCAGCTTGGACCATGACCCTCCATCGCGCAGCGTACCCCTCTCCGCATCCTCCTCATGCAGACCCACATGCTCCCTCCCTCTCGCGCAAATGCTGCGGATCCAAATGGGGGCAAGGAAGGGGACCGAACTTTTAAGTTGATATAACAGTCATTAGGCTCTATTTTAAACAGATACGAAGATGCAATAATATAAAATAGCTAGACAAGCATGCAAGCCAGCTTTTTTTCCTAGACAAAGATCTTCCCTTCCCCATCCTAGCATGGCATGGCTGTTTGAGTTTACAGTTCTTTTAAAATCACCTCTGGCTCTTCACGTACACTTTTTTTTTAATGGATTTGGTAGTTGTCAGAATAACTGTTTTCATTAATAAAGGGGGGGGGGGAAGTATATTTAATCAGAATAAAAGATTTCACATTTAAGGATTATTCTTCAGGTTGTCTTCAAAACCAATGTTGACATTTCATATGTCTTAAAGGTGAAACTGCTTAAAGTATGCCCATGACTGTCTGACTGAGGTGTTTTAAATGCTCAGATATATTCTGCATAAACCCACCCTATCTCACAGAACACAGGCTGGATGTGAGTCCTGCTTTTGGTGAAAAAATGCTAATCTAACTGCCTCTGGAAAGAGAGCTACGCACGGTAATACCTCGCATTTTAATCTCACAGGGTTCAATCTGTCTGACCTGAAAAACTGCCTGTGCCAAGCCAACTCCAAATATAAGTACGTACTCTAATACGGTGCATACTTTGATTCTGTTCCTCTCCACCACCCTTTTCGCCTCACGTTTGAGGGTAAACTTCAGAAGTCAGAGATCCTGCCTTTAGATGGGTGTTCACAGCCCCTGGCACAATGGGGCACTGTAGTAAACGCAGCCATTTCCTTTCAATGCATGTAAATGAGATAAATAGTGATACGCTATAATTAATGCACACTACTGAAAATGTCCCCAGCTGCACATTCCCCAGGGCTGTCTGGTATATACACCGAACCACTAAACCCCTATGAAGAAAAAGTTACGGTCACACCAAATGTGTTGCAAACATGATATTGTTTTTAAAGGTGTGGTGAAATTAGGCAACTCTATTTTTACCCCTCTCCTTTCAAATCTCTGCAGGATTTCTCTCCTGTTTCTATGCGTTTCCATCCTAGAAAGGCACTTGCATTAGTAAGAATCCACGTGATGCTGAGGATTTAAGCCCCAGTTGTCCTCTATGTGTCAGAGGGTGCTGGCCTCCTGTGAAAGGTGCCCTGAGAGTTATGATAGGTACGATACAGAAATGCTCAGTGGCAGCATTAGTCTTTCTATCAGCTCTATCATGCACTGCCCAAAATATTTATCTAATCAGGGCAATAGGTCTTGTCACCAGCTAGCCCACACAAAGTTTACTTGCTTGTTGGAGCACGTCCAGAGGAGGCCACGGAGATGATCCGAGGGCTGGAGCACCTCTGCTGTGGAGACCTCAGGATGAGAGAGTCGGGCTTGTTCAGCCTGGAGAAGAGAAGGCTCCGGGGAGACCTTAGAGCCCCTTCCAGTCCCTAAAGGAAAGCTGGGTAGGGACTGTTGACAAGGACAAGGAGTGACAGGACAAGGGGGAACAGCCTTGAGCTGAAGGAGGGGAGATTTAGATGAGATATGAGGCAGAAATCCTTCCCCGTGAGGGTGCTGAGGCCCTCGCACAGGTTTCCCAGAGAAGCTGTGGCTGCCCCTGGCTCCCTGGCAGTGTTCAAGGCCAGGTTGGATGGGGCTTTGGGCAACCTGGGCTAGTGGAGGGTGTCCCTGCCCATGGCAGGGGGGTGGGAACTAGATGGGTTTTGAGGACCCTTCCAACCCAAACCAGTCTGGGATTATATGATTTTCCTGGAATCAGGAAAAACACCCCTTGGAATTAAACCCCTTTCCAGATCTCCCAATACTGAGCTCCAGACCTTCCTGCCTGGAGTCACAGAGAAATTGGTCTCCTGCATTGCTTGCACATCTGACAAAGCTCACTGGAGCCCATCAGCAGTGCAAAATCATCAGTTAGATTTTCCCCCCCCCCCCATCGGGTACATCCTGCTGACACAACAGCCAGCTAGATGGAATGAAATTCATTCCTGGCGTAACCTTGCGGGAATCTGCAACTAACATCAGAGTTGAATTGGAATCTATATTCATAGATCTAACTTTACCATCTTTCCTCACGTTGACCTGTTCTAATGAGCCAGATCTAAGGTAGTTTATCACTGCAGAAGCCGCTGTCAAGGTTAACTATCCACTTCTACATTTGCAGACACTATAGTATGGTGAACTTGTCACTGGAGACTACAGGGACCATCTCTTCAACAGCATCACAGAATAGTCTGCCAAACAAGCTTGTTAAGATGAAAGGAAAGCTCAGCAACAACAAGCATACCTTAAGATATTTTATCTCCAGATAGTTTAGCCAATAACTGGGTGTTTCAGTTTATGGTGTGCTGAGTTACATATTTCTATGCAGATTGCACCATTCACACTTCAGAGGACTCTGCCTGCTTGTTTGCTCTGGAGCCTGTCCCTAGAAGATGTAAAGCACTCAAACTGGTTGATGTTGTAGGGCGAATCTAATGCTACAGGTTCTCTCAAAGGGATTAGTGCGCAGTGGCAACTCACCATCGCCTCCATTCTAAACAAAGTCAGACCAAAACATTGTGGTTGCATTTGGCATATTAAACTTTAACCATAGATTTAAAATGTCTCTTACTTGATGAACAATTTTTATTACCGTT